TAGAGTAGAGTAGAGTAGAGTAGAGTAGAGTAGCGTAAAGTCGAGTAGTGTAGAGTGTCGTAGAGTGTCGTAGAGTAGAGTACAATAAAGTAGAGTATAGTAGACTAAGTAGAGTAGAGTAGAGTGTCGTAGAGTGTCGTAGAGTGTCGTAGAGTGTCGTAGAGTGTCGTAGAGTGTCGTAGAGTGTCGTAGAGTGTTGTAGAGTGCCATAGAGTGTCGTAGAGTAGAGTAGAGTAGAGAAGTCTAAGAGTAAAGTAGAATAGAGTATAGTGTCGTAGAGTACAGGAGAGTGTCGTAGAGTAGAGCAAAGTAGAGTAGAGTGTCATAAAGTGTCGCACAGTATAGTAGAGTAAATTATCGTAAAGTAAAATACAGTATAGTAGAGTAGAGTAAAGTGTCGTGTCGTGTTGAAGAGTAGAGTGGAGTGTTGTAGAGTAAAATGTCGTAGAGTAGAGTAGAGTGTTATAGAGTGTCGTAGAGTAAAAAACAGGGTCGTAGAGTGTCATTGAGTAGACCAACGTGTCGTAGAGTGGAGTAGAGTGATGTGTTTTATTGTAGAGTAGTGTGTTAGAGTGTCGTAGAGTAAAGTAGAATGTCGTAGAGTAGAGTAAAGTACATTGTCATAGAGTAGAGCATAGTGTCCTACAGTGTCGTGGAGTAGAATAGAGTGTTGTAGAGTAGAGTGGAGTGTCATGGAGTAGAGTAGAGTGTCGTATAGTAGAGTAGAGTGTCGCAGAGTAGAGTGTTGTTGAGCAGAGTGTTTTAGAGTGTTGTAGAGTAGAGTGTCTTAAAGTGTTGTAGAGTAGAGTGTCGTAGAGTAAAGTGTTTTAAAGTAGAGTAGAGAGTAATAGAGTGTCGTAGAGTGTCGTTGTCAGCACGAATACCCTTACAAGGGTATCCGCCCTTGGTTTGCAAGCAACAAAAAATAAGTTTGGTTTAAAGCTTAAATATATCGTGTGAGGTGCGACTGTGTTTGTGGTTTACATTGACTGGATGGTTGACTAAAGTAGGGAGTGTATGGGCGCTCAGACTTAAAGCGCGCGTGATCTTTCTTTTTATTGATGATTGTGGAGCCGGTGTAGTTGCCAGCCAAAGATGTTTACTTCCGATTAAACTCAATTTAAAAAGATTTTGTCTTTTAATTGGTGGTTTGTCCGTGACTTGTGCGTACGTCAGAGGGCGGCAACGGCGACAATGCGGTTTCGAAACGTTTAGTAGGTCCGCACGTCGCAGATCACCCGCTTATGTAGGTGTCTGTCAATACTAAACCCAGCCTTAGGCCTAGCACTATCGGTTAACGGTATCGGACTTTCATTAAGAGATTCAGGGATCGAAACCGAACGGCGACGACGCGGGGATATCAGAGTACCGTGAAGGGACCGAAGGGTTGAGGGTCCGTCAGGGCTATCCCCCTTGGTTTTGCCGTCAGCACCCTGAGGGCGGTGCTAGCGCCTTCTTTTCCCTCGTTCTTCATATTCTGACGGTTAAAGAATTTTAAAAATATTTTATTATCTTTTATTGTTTTTGTATTTCGGCGTTTCTTGACTCGAACGAGATACTGGATTTAAAGGTCGTCACGGCGGTCGAGGACCTTGAGCACAAGCCTCTTTCGGCGGGCCCGTTTTCGGTTCCTGCATACTCGAAAGGTTGGCAGGATTCCTTTACACGGTCCGCTTTGAAACTCGAATCAAGGAGTTCAATGTGCATGCGAGCAGGGGGTGATCTGGCTCATGAGGCGGAAGGAGATTGAGTGTGGGGGAAACCTTCTGCGGACACACCGACCACCAACTGCTGATTGTGGTAAGGGGCTCAAGTGTGAGCATGCCGACATGATCTGGAAGAAGGTGAGCCGTGCCTGGGTTGAGTAGCGCAGGTTGCAATAGCGCAAGCCATAGTCTGTAGGCGGCCGGTCGCATGAGAACCGCTTTCGACTTCGGTCTTCAAGGGTCTTCCTTTGAATATCTGCTACTACCTCCAAGATCTGCACTGGGCCCATATTCACCTACGCCGACCTTTTAGACCTTGTAGAAGATCTACGGCCTCCCACTCTTCGGGAATCGGAATAGCCTAAGTAGCCGAGTGCAGGTCGTGGGCGCCAGGCTTTAACACCACCCACTGTCGGGCGGATCAATTTGGCAAGTGAGTTGTTGCACACTCCTTAGCGGACTCTAACTGTTATGACCACCGCACTGTGGTCTGTATCAGCGAAAACCTTTGTGGTGCCTGGGTAAGGCACGGTCGGGGGGCTAAGGCGGAGGACAACAGTGACATCTACGCGCCGCTAGTGATGCGCAAACCGTTCGTCACACTCGGGTATAGGTATGACTAATCGAATCATCTAGTAGTTGTTTCACTTCGAAGTTCCCCACGAGTAGCCGAAATTGCGGAGCGGACCGACCGATGTGAGAGCATTGTTGGAGGACGGAAAGCTGACATCAACAACGGGTGGTGGAAGCGAGAGAGAAGGTTAACGAAGACCCTAATTTTCAGACCACTTGCCATGCCATTTATATGAAAACCAAAGGGTCATTTTAATTAAACTTGCCACCAATTCGTAGAGTGGAGACCATACTAACTAACTGCAAAAAAAAATCAAAAAAATAATAATAAAAAACATATAAAACAACAAGGCAAAAGTACATTTTCAGGAAATTTCACCAACATCTCAATTTCAGAAATCTTAACAGAGGAAAGTCCAATTCTCCAAATGACACAAAATTTGGCACACACCAACCTTGATAGCCTCGTTGAGGCCCGCACAATGAATGTTCGCATGGCATGTGTTCCCTTCACAAAGATTCTTCGTGTTGTTCGAAGTGGGTTGTTGAAGGACTTCGTGTGCGAAGTTCGCCGTAATCCGAAATTCTCGCTTTCGAAAAGACGTGATGAGGCCGACGTATGCAGTACAGTGTTTCCCGCCTGTCTTTGTGATGCTTCGTTACCGCCTACGTTCTGGTTTGACTGTGACTGGACTGTTTCTGCTTTGGTTTTCCCAAACCTGACAGTGTGGTGGTTTCCTTCATTTGCGTTGTCGTCCGCAGACACGATGTCTTCATCGAGGGGCGAGGGGGAGCCTGCCGGAACAACCGGGAAGGAATTAGGAAAAGATTCCACAAGACCATCGTCTACGACCTCGAAATCGTGGTCGGACCACACAAGGTTGAAATGGTTCGTTGACTGGTGTTGTGGAGATGCGTCGAACCCCGTTAAACAGTTGTGTGGTCCTGTCATCTTCGTCAACGCCAACAAGCGGCGTAAACTGCTGGGGGCTGTCTTGTGGTGGGAGGAGGCGAAAGCCAATCATCGACGGTTCTATATGAAAAATGTTTACGGTGCGAAGGGCAACGTTGTCGCTAATTCCAAAGGGGCGCTGCTGGACATGGTTTTGTTCGAGGGGTTCAGAGCGGGTGTTGTGAACACACCGTTCTACAACGACCTTCTTCGGCAGGGCGGGTTTGTTTTGGCTCGAGAGTTTTTTAACTTGTTAGAGGAGAAGGACGTCGGCCTCAACGTTCCCTTACGACGTCGGCCCCGACCACGAGCTGTCAAAGCCCTTGCAGTTGTGTGGCGGTTCTGAATCCAGCGGGGCTGCGCCGGAGGGGGGAAATCTGGGTTCCGGTGTGGCTACTCAGCTGCAAGGGGGTGAGAGCCGCGGTCAATTTGACGAGAGCGAAGATGAGGCAACACCGCTACCGACGTCTTCGCCATTGAGTCGAAGAGACCGGTCCGCGCTGTCTGTATCTGGGGTCCAGCAAGCAGCTCCAGTTCGAGAGGAGGTCACTGCGGCTCCCGGAAAGGCGGCAGCCCACTGTGAGGTCGACTTGGAGACTGTCGAGGGCCGTGGCACGGAGGACGAGACCGTGGGCGGAGATGGAACGCAGGGCACTCCACAAAAGAGGAGGGAAGATCCTCAAGTCGACATTGTCGGCTCTTCGAAGAAATAGAAGACCAAGGCCCCAAAGAGTGTGGGGGAGAAACGGAAGGGAACGGGGGGGGAACAGGACCGCCCAGGTAGCAAACGTCCAGCTTCGAGATAAAAGAAGTTTGCGTCGAGACCTTCCTCGCCACAGCCTGCCATTGATGTCGACGTCGGGTACTTCCTGGAGTACAAAGACGACGTCAGGAAGAAGCGGGAGTTTGAGATTAGCCCTGCTTAGGTCGTCAACCTCGGGGAGTGGGAGGATCTGTAGAACCAGCGGTCCCTGGATCCCGTCCTCGTTGAAGGGATCAAAAAAGCGATGCGGTTGGCGTTCGAAAACAAAGAAGAGTCGTACGAGTTGCCAACCTTGAAGCTGGCACCGCTAGGGCTGCAAAAACCAACTCCCGGGAACAAGGCACAATGTCTGAAGCCAGAGGAATGGAGGGACGAGTTGGCAGGACAATACTACTATTACGCAGTGTGTGGCCAGCACAACGCGGATGCAGCCCGATCGCTGCTCGGCAGTGAGGTGGCCAAGAAGTACAATTTCGAGTGGTGGCCGACACGAATGGTGTATTTTTCGAACAATGACTTCGAAGAGTATTTTCTTGTTAGTTCCCAGGACAACAAGAAGGACCTCAAGGCACCTCCTAGACAATTGAAATTGTCCATAAAAGACATTTGGTGGTAGTGGAAGCATAACGGTTTCCCTAGAGCTGTCATGGGGAACCCTAGCGGGAAACAAGAACATGTCCGCAAATGACGTGAGTTCCGTACGATGACGCTCCATAAGACGCCGTACAACAACTTGTGGATTCTCGCGGATCAAAATGGAGAGGAAGCCATTAAGAGGCAAAATGTTGCCCTGCGTTCTTATTTCCCGCTGGCGATGGCTTGCGAGAATGTTTGGAAACTGGTCGCGGAATTTTTTGAAAAATGGGAGACAGGTAGGTTGCTGGGCCACGACGGAGCAAAGTGGATCGTCAAGTAGAAGAAGGTCAAAAACGTTAAGTCGGGGGTCGCCTACATCGACAACGACAAGTTGGGCAGAAAGGAGGTCGTTTACAACGTCCCCGTGGAGCCGCCGACTAAGAAAGGCAAAAATGAGAAAGAGGAGGGTGATTGGTTCGTGCAAGTGCCTGAGCCGGAGACGCACTGTTGGAAAGTGATGGAAGCACTCACCGACAATGAGAAGTGTTGCGTTCTGAAGAAAGTGCTTGCTTGCGAGGTCGTTTGGGTCCAGGCTGGCTCCCCGTCGTTGGCGAAGTTGGGGAAGCTTAGCATGCAGGAAATGGTGCAGTTGGTGAAGTGCCACCGCGTGCTGGTCGGGTTGTGGAATTACTACCAATCCAAGCACGAGAAGAGGTCGGATGCGGATTCGATCCAAAAGTACCCTTTCCTGAAGTCGAGGTCTTCCGTCTTCAAAAAGTTCAAAAATCGAGGATTGGATAGCGATTTCTGGGACGGTAGCAGGAAATACGTTTCTGACGCGACTTTGTTCAAGAACTGCCCGCCGTACATGGGTTGCGACGAGGACCACTCGATTAGGGCGACGGAAAAGTTGGTCGGCCACAGGAAGTTGACCATCGACTTGAGAAACAAGGTTCTCTTCGTGTTGACTGGGAGCAGACTGAAGAATCGGGAGATCGCACTTGCCGAAGGCATTGTGCACATAAAATGGAAAGGCACGGGGGACATGACATCCATTGCACCGTTCGACAACGACCCTTTGGAGGCGGACATCAGGAGTGCAGAGTTGAAGGAAGCGGTGACTGCCACAAAGAGATACACGTTCGTCCTCGATCTGTACGAACCGGTTAACCTGAAGCTATGAAAACCGCAAGCGGTCAAGACTTTGAATTCCTATCTCATGACATGGTGTCCATCGTATTGGACTCTCGTTGTTTTTGTGTCGCGGCAGCACAACCTCACATTTCTGGCCAGCATGCACCATCTTTCTTTCGTAAAGCTGCTGGAAGGGAAGTGGGTGAGGAGGAGCCAGCAAAAGAAAAGCTTCCCCATGGGGAATAATCTGTACACGAAAGACGACCGCATATACATCCTCTTCAAGGATGACGATCTACGCGACAACACGTCCCCCGTCTACGAGGGAAGGCTGCCAAAGGGTGCCACTGCTGCGGTGCGGTTGCCCCAGAGGGTTACCCAGATGGATGTGTCGGAGATTCCCTTCACACCTTGCGACTGGTCATAGACCGCGCCTGAAAGACAGGGCAGTGTCTACGGGGACATGGAATGCAATCCAACACAATTCGTCGGTCTTCTTGATTTCGTTAGCCAGAAGGGAGAGGGTGTCGTCTTCCTTGGGAAGCCGCACGCGCGAAGCGTGTGGAAACTTCTAAAGGCAGGTCGGTACGTTGTCACGATGGAAGGAAAATCCGACCTCTTGCAATGCACGATGCAACTCGTCAAATGCGAGGTCAATTCGGGGGCACACAATTGCGAGTTCATGGTCGTGAAGACGACACGGGATCGGGTGTGGAACAACAAGACAGACATGTGGTTCAAGTTGAGTGAGAGGAAGAGGAACAAGATATATAACTTCTTGTTACTTCAAAGGCGGCCGAGGAAGGACACTGACGCCGAGTACGTCCGCCGTAGGGACCACATGTTGGCGTTGCTCGACAACCACCACTTCGTCTCCCGCGTGAACGCGAAGACCTTTCTTCAAGGCTGCAATCCCTATACTTCGTTGAGTCCGAGGAGTTGAAGTTCAGCAGTTACGCTTCCTTGATCTCCACTGATGACGAGGCAGCCACCGGTGTGGAGTTCAACATCAATGCGAAGGAGGAGGAGAGCGACACCGAGAGCCTCGACCTGCAGTATGACCCACCTCCGGCGGAGCACGCCCAAGGGTCTTTGTCGGCCGATGTGTCGACAAGCCCGGCACCCCTCGTGTCGCCGATGGCCAAACTGGCGCCGGGCACCACTCCGATGAAGTTGTTGGAGAGATTAAGAGATCTGGCCGTCCCCCCGCGCGCATTGCGTCCAGGGTCTGACGTCCCGCCTGATCATCCGTCTTGGAAGGATGACAATATCCAGTTCCTTCTTGAGCCACAAAGTCATTTGCCTGAGGTGGACTGGGGCCATGACATGATTTGGCATCCAGGAGTCATCCAGCCCGCGATACAAAAGGGCGAGTGGGTCATGGCCGTCGCAGTCCCGGGTGCGGGATGGGTGTCCATCCCTCGTGAATCGAAGTTCAATTTCCTGCACCTCGCGAGGATTTCGGTCCTCCAAAAAGTGCGGGCCGAAAATGACACGTTTGCACCCGACGACTTGTCCATCGTTTCCACAGTCGGGCGGCTGTTCGACAAGCTTCAGGACAAGTGCTGGTTGGAATTGACGAAGGACTACTACGAGCTCAACACGAGCCTGTCGAAGGGCATGGTGGACTGGAAAGTGCCCCCTCCCAGTGGAGCGCACGGGAGTTCCGGGGGGGGGGCACCAGGCGGTGGAGGGGACGGGGATGGTAGTGCAGGGGGTGGAAAAGGAGTCCCGCGTAGTGAGGAGGGACGGTCTCACAGCGGCACCACGACACCAGGAGGCAGCGGTGGGGTGGCGGGTTTTGCCGTTGATCGGCATCCATCTACTGACCCCGGGCCGAAGCCTACGACGCAGTCCGCCAACCAACCAAGTTCATCCGTGAGCTCAGCGAGGGAGATATTGGCAGCCTTGGTTACTCTCGGCAACCGCTCGGGCGGAACGTTGAAGTCCGCCGGATCCGAACTACGCCAGTTGAGGTGCTGCAAGAGCGGTCCACCGTGCAGAGTCGCTCGGGGTTGCGGGAGCCGAACCAGGATCCCGCAATTGGCAGCAGTGCGGTGAGGGACGGAAATGCGTCGCCTGAGCTGGAGCGACGACTGCTAGGATTGCAGCGAGAGCCTACAAGTGAAGGGTCCGGCGACACAGAGACGACAAAGTCCGCCAAGATCCGAACTTCTTCAGGCGGGGGGGGTCGGCCAGGGATTGTTGTGCCGCTGGGAGGGGCAGCATGCACGGAGACAGAAGGGCGGTCGTCGGGATTCAACACGGGTACTAGAGAAGGGCGTGAATTACATGGAAGGGAAGGGGAGGAGGAAATGAAGGAAAGGAAGGGGAAGAAGGGGAGGAAGAAGGGGAAGAAGGGGAGGAAGGGGAGGAAGGGGGGGAAACGAAGTTGGTTGAATTGCTTGAAGGCAGAGAGGGTGCCAAAGGGGACGTGGGTATTGGAGACGACGAGGGGGAGGACAGTGAGGACGATGCTGGATCTGGAAATTCGTCTGACGAGTTCGAACAACTGTACGGAGAGCATCACAAGGATGATGTCGACGACGATGCCACGGCAATAGAGATGGAGACACAGGTGGTTACCAGCCTTTCTGCAGAGCCTGAAGACTATGAGGTCCAACCACTGACGTCTGTCGTCGATCTGCAACATCGGTTCGACGAGGCTTCTGTTACTATGAGCACATCTAAAGCAAGTCGCCGTATAAGCATCAAAGAAGTTGTTGACGGTATCCTCGGCGACCAGCACGTGTCCGCGCATCCGTCCAGAACGCTTGACGTTGACGACGCGCAAAACGTCAAATCTTCCGTGGCACCTGCCCTCGCTTTCTCGCCGCCAAACTCACCGGTACTGTCGGCCACCCTCGCAGGCAGAGGGGAAGGCGAGGTCAGGGGACGACAACATGTCACGTCCCCTAAAAAATCTAGGGTCGACACTCAAGCTCTCGATGTGCTCGCCTTTCCCGCGCCAACTTCACCGACGAAGGAGAGGAGAGACAAACCGACTGGTAAGCTGTGAAGAACGCCACACTGTCTGCGCGACCAACCTTACGAAAACGAGAGCGGGGCTTCCTTCGTAGTCCGGATGTCGGCGGACTACAGTCCTCGCCATACACACGACGACTGTCCACACTATCTCTCGATACGAGATGTTCCGGATGCCGACATGCTACAGCCACTAGTCCTTCCAACTACATGTCATCGGCTTTCCTATTAGTAAGCCACGTTGTTAGTTGCGGGCAGGGAATACTTCATCGAAAACATAACACTCCATCAGAGGAAGGATCTATCCTTCTATGAAGTGTTTTTTTATTGAAGCATTCCCTCGCAAAACTCTCCCTGGCTAAGAAACTGGCCAACTAAATGGAATGACGGTTTTTTCTTCTCGGAAAGAGTGGTGGTTTAAGTCCGCCAGGATCCAAACTTCCTTTGTCGATGCGTAATGTGGTTAGTCTCTGTGGGCCCGCTGTGAAAAAGTCCGCCGCAATCCGAACTTCGGGAATGTTGGCCTTCTACTTCTGTGACTTATGGTGGTTTTCCTTTGTGAAGGGCGGGGGTGTTAAGCTCGACTGCGCTAGTCGTTTTGTTTTCGAGCCGCACACACGCACCTCGGAGCTCATTACCATGCAAAATCGGGTTTCTATAATTGGAGAGGTCCTGCGTGACTGCTTCGTCTTTACGATTATATGGTTCTCACATTGTCACTTCCGTCGGATTCGTGTTGGAAAACGTATATTCGTTTTTCGTTCTGTCTTTCTTCTGTTGTACAGGGGTGGGGTCATCTCGAACACGGAGGTCCTCGAAATATCCGGAACACATATTGCAGAAAATCCCTGGGTTGACGACAGAACACAAGGATATGTTAAAGGCATCAGGGGTTGATGTTGAGATTGGGAAGAAGGAGCATGTCATTGCCATTGAGGAATGTCTTTCCCTTCTGGCCCCAGAGAAAGGGACATATCCACGATCTGTGACTAGGGGTCAGGCCATGTATGAGAAATACTTGACAACGCGTGCAACAGGAGACAATGCTTGGAACTCCGTTTCTCAATACCCGATGTGTCCTTTGCTCGATGTTGTGCAGTGCGGGCCACAACACGTGGAACAGGAGGGGAAAGATCCGTTGTAGCGACTGCGCCTCGAAGCTTGCGGGTTTTGGACGACATTAAACGAGGTTCGGTGCCACCTCACACTGTTCTCTCTATTCTGGCTGATGGTCAATTGCGAATTGCAGCAAAGATCTCCTCACCCTCTTTCATATCGACGGCAGGGTGAATGATGAGGTGGTCAATATCTATATGGCGCTATTGGGGTCGACCGCATGTGCGTCACTTGACTCCCGTTAGGCCTTGAAGTCTTCAGCTTTAATTCGTTCTTCTTCAGTAAACTGCAACTTCAAGGACACGGTGGGGTGGAGAGGTGGACTAAGAACGTAGATTTGCTTCGATACGATATTATCTTCGTTCCGGTCCACAAAGGTAATGATCACTGGATCCTCCTTTCCTTCAACTTGAGAGATAATGTCCTCGAAATTTTTTATTCTTTTCCTCGCGTTGTAGTTGATTCGAGTTATTACATTAGTGTTTTCGAGTTGATTGTACAGTATTTCGAACGTCAAACATCACATAGGCGGTCGGGTAGGAGTTGAAAGTCGATAGCGGGAAATGTTGTGGTGGAAGGAATTCCATAACAAGTGGATGGAGCTAGTTGCGGGGTGTTCATGTTGATGTTCGTGACACTATTACAACGTGGTGATCGACCACCTTTCAGGTTCTCTTGTAAAGATATTCCGCTTATTCGACGAGAATCAGCATCATGTATCTTAGAACGTCGTTGTCTTTGATGAATTTGATTGACTTAGAAACTTTCTTTTGAAAGTATTCCATTTCTTAATGATTATATTTTGTAAATCATGACATTATTCAACTGTCGTTTTGACAACAACATTGCTTTTTTCTTTTTATCGTTGCGAGTTTGAGTTGTCTTTGGCAGACTCATTGCATGCCCAGCGTCATGTATAGACTTTGTAATCTTTGTCACGTCCCAGTCGTCTCTCATGCGGTGGAACATGATATACATTGCGTTCCATATTTCAAATTTTGTTCAACTCAACCAAAAGTGTGCATATGATTGACAAATTGGTATGTGGATGCATGGCAAATCTCAACGAGTTTGTGAGTGTGTGGTTCATTAAGTAAAGATGAGTAGCGTCATGTCTCTTGCGTGTGCATAGAATCACATGCATTGTGACCACCTGCATTACATGTAACCAACAACTTTGCGTTCATGCCCAAACCTTTTGTGCATGGCCATTTAAAGTGCGGATTTCGATCGTAAATCAGTAAAATTTGAAGTTTTTTTGTAATATGACATGTGTTGTTGCACAAAACGAACCTGTATGTCAAAATTAATTTGTTGTTACAATACATCTTGTTCATCACATTTGTAAACAAGTATAAATCTCAGCACACTTCCTCATGTCGGGCGGGATGATGAGCGTGTCTATCATTGGACTAAGTATTCTAAAGAAGTCTGAATCTTTTCAACATCCAAACAACCGTCTAGGGCGAGATGATGGATATTCTTGCACAACTTAGGGATAACCTAGTAAAAAAATGTATTATCCAACAAGGATTCAATCATGACACCTTGCTCATCATATTTAAAAACTTTAAGTTTAACAAGTATGGATCTCAGCACACTTTCGCACATTGTCAGGGTTCCCAGATGGGCATGCCCGTCATTACACCAAGTCTTCTAAACAAGTCTGGATCTCATCAAACATCCAAATAACCGTCTCAGGCGAGAGGATGGACCTGGCTGTACAACTTTGGGATAACCTAAAAAATTATGCTATCCAATTCAATCCGAGTACATTGCTCATCTTATTTATAAAGTTTAACAAGTATGGATCTCAACACACTTCTGCATTAAGGGCGAGTGGATGGGTGTGCGTACGTTTCTTAGGCTGCAACCAAAAATGAATTCGTTAGAAAGAGGACACAATATAATGTCATATTTTAACGAATAACTTGTTGAGGATCATCTGGTAGTGCGGCGTCGGCGTGGTGATACTTGGGACGCAAATTGGGACCAAGAGAATTAGAAGTTGGATTGGTGATCAGGATGGGACCATTCTTGGTGAGCGAGGTGCCGCTGAGAATGTACTGGTGAGCCACTCACAATTGTAGGTAAGAGCACTCTCCTTGAGGGTTATCTTGCTAAGTTCTAGTGAGTGGCGCCTGTGTCTGTGGTGAGCTTTGGAGAAGGACGCATTATATTTTTATAAACGGCTACAACTTGTGAGTTGTGCGGACGATCTTCTCTTGAGAAAAATACTTGGCTTTCTTGAGTGAGCCGTTCTCAACTTCATTCAAGGTCAGTTGATTGATTCAGATTTCCCTTCACACCTACGTGAACCCACACTTCGCTTGACCCTGTTGTCTTGAATGTTCGAAAGAAAAGGTAAAGTGAAGTTGTGCGAGTCATGCATGTGAATGAAAATGTCTGACTTTGGGCATAGGTTGCCTGGTTTTCCCAAACTTGTTGCTTGGCTTGGTGTGCAGGTAGGTAGAAGAATGCTTGCAAAGAAGGTTGATTGTGTCTACATGGGTTGATGCAAAAAATTATTTTTTTTCTACCTTCCATTTGTATGTTTGTCAAAATGACTTATTGTGTTGAAAAAATTAAATCAGTGAGTGTCATAAAATGAATTCGATTCAAATAAGGCAGATAAGTTCGAACGGACTTAGTATTTTTCCGAGAAAGACCCTTTGTATCCCAAATGACCTTATCTACATCACCTATCTGTTTCTTCTCATCTAAGTTACCCTGGACTTAGGAGAAATTAAAATAATTAAAACCTATCTGTAGTAAATACATTCTTTTCCTTCGGGAAGCATCTGGGGCAGGGGTTCGTTGCTTTAGGAGCCGACCCTGTTATCGACCCAGAGTGGACCGTTCTCCGTGGGGGGTACTCTACCGATTCGGTGGAGACGGCCCGACTTCTGAGATCCGAGTCTTCAAGTCTTGTGCTCAGTCGAGGAGGGAGAATACCCCAGACCACTTCCTAGAGAGAGAGAGACATGCAACACTTCAAGCAATGCACCTGATCGAAAATCATTCGCAAAGTAATCAGTTATCCAAGAAAGATTAAAAATGGTTGAAGATAGGCATGTGTGTTGAGTCTTAGGTCGGTGGTTGGGTGGAATGAATGACTTTGGCAGCGCATCTCATCAAGTTAAAACTAAGGCAGTCCGACTACCTTGTCGGCTGCGTTGAGGTTATTATCGACTACGGTCGAATTCTTTTGATGCAATAAGTATGATTATGTATAATTGTTATAACTTTATCTTGACTGTCTGTTAAAAGGACTAGGATTGATGATGGGTTTCACGCTTGGTTGAGACCGTCCTAGTCGATCGACGTTTGATTCGTACCTAGGAGATCAGCGCCTTAGGAACGAACGACGCTCGGGTCCGCTTGGCGTTAACCAAGCGTATTTATACGACAGTGAACGAGCAAACGCCCTCGGCCGACTTACCTCTTCGACTGCAGGCAAAAGTTTTCGCACGTGGGTCAGTAGCTCGGTAGGGATGCGCCCCTAAGGGTGGTGATAACCCCTTACGGAAGGTAAGCTTATGCCCCACGTGAACCTATCCTGTCGTAGGGGACCGCGGGATGTATAGCTGGTGCACCCGGCCAGAGCGGCGAAGGGACGACGCGACCGTGACCGTCTCGGCAGTCGGCGGGATTAATTATGCGTCGTCCCTGAGTTGTCTCTATATTGTGCTTTTTGTTTTAACTCCTGCGTGACATGGCCGGGAGGGTTCCTGCCTCCTTCGCGAGAAAAGGCGGGGGCCGATGCGCTCGACAACACGTTAGCCATCGATGTGCAGTCATACTCGGTAGAGTCGATACTATTGGGATTACCCTGGGCAATAGCGGTGGGCGCGCAGATACATTTCGACTCCAAACAACTTATCCTAACACACACTAGAGGAAAGCCTCAGACTATTCCGCTACGAGTTTCCACTCAAGCGCCAAGAAAGAGTCCCGGTCTCATCCGAGCAGGAATGATTCAGAACCCGAGTCCGGAAGATTCGTCTGAAAATGGCGACGAGGACCGACACCTTTCTGATGATGACGGGTATGACGAACGAGAATATGATGAGCTATTAAATTACATACCTACTGAGGAGCGATGGAGTCGGTTAGTCGAGCTATTCAATCACAAGGCTAAAGAAGAATTCCGGATGATACCGACTACCGCACGGACATTTGATCTAAATACTGAGAGCAACGAGCTTAGCCTCATCCCGCCTGTATCCCCTCTCGCATGAACAGAAACACAGATTCCAACAACGTCCTTGCTTGGAGAACTTATCTTGCAAATTTCGGATATGGCTGCCCTCTCGGAACCCCCTCGGACCTTGTTCAAAGGCGCGCTTTCATTACGGGAAAGATATTGGCAAATGAATCATTACCTAGATTTTTTCGTCTCCCCGCCCAGACCGTTGCTCACGCAAGGTGCGGTGATTGCATTAATTCAACGAGAGGCCGAAGCCTCGATCAATGATGTCCCCAATTGATGCAGGAAATGGTTAAACTAACTGGGTTGGAAATTGGAGCGAGCACAACTGACCCCGAAACCGATGTCGAAACTAAGGAAACTGAATTGATCAACCCGACCAAATCACATATGCTTGCTACTGTTTTTTCGGTCCGAATCAATAGCTCCATATTCTCCAGCATGGACGGTAAACGGCCAATGAGACCAGATTGGATCGGCATACGGCTTGACATTTCCGAACGGCTAGCGATCACCTTACCCGGCCTCGTGCCAAGAAAAATTCGCAAGTCTCCGGTTGATGTATTGCATGGATATGGTAAGGTGTTGAGTGTGCACGATAACGATATTGGGCTGTCAACCGTGATCGAACATGTGATCCTCACAGGGGATCATCCACCGATTAGCTGCGCTCCCTATCGGTACTATCTGTCACAGTGACTGGTTGCGTTCCAGAGAGTAAAGGAGTTTGAAGCTGATGGATGGATTGAACCCGTCATCGGACCGTCGTCAGTTCCTGTGGTGATTGTACCAAAAAAGGCGAGAGGGATTCGTATATGTATTGATTACCAAAAGTTGAATGACACCACGATTAAGCAGTGTCGTACCCGTGACCGTGACCGGAGCCGGTCACATGAACGTGACCGGCCGGTCACCGGGCCCTCTTTCCGTGAACGGCCATTCACGGGGGCCGTTCATGCAGTCAGCGGTCACTGGGGCGTCGGGGTGGTCGGGATAGGGGCGGGAGGGGGGTCGCGCGGGGGCCTTCTACGCCCCCATAACTTCAAATTGTGCAAAAAAAAAAAAAAAAAAAAAAAAAA